CCCCAAAACCCCAAAACCCCAAAACCCCAAAACCCCGTCAAGGGATATTTTGATTGAAACATTATTTTATAAATGTTGGCCCGACGATAAGGTTGATTTGAGTGCGGGTATATTCCATATGATCGCCTGGGATGGATATGAATTCTGCTCTTCCAGACTCTTCTAAAGTCTTTAGGCCAATAAGATCGTTTTTGTACAGGTCTGTTTCAAACCTTGAGAGTAGTTTTAAGTCAGGAGAGTACATCCCCCACCATGAGGACTCTTTTGGGATTATTGTTGTATCATTGTCCCACATTACAAATGTAGCATGCTGGAGTTTGAGCCATTGGTCTTTTCTTCTTTGATCAAAGTTTATCTCGTTGTTTGCTTCAGCTAGGAATCTTGAGTACTCAAAATATCCCTCTTGGTTATTAGGGTCCCTCCAAAAATCAGCTGGAGCGAGGAAATACTGAGTCATTCTGTAATAAACTATTTTATTAACAATCCATGCTAATGTAGATCCTAGCTTCGACTCTTTTGGAAAAGTCGGCACAAAAGAGACTCCCATATGAGGACCTCCAAAAGTAACGAGATTTCTAACAGGATGTTCAAGAGGACAATACTCAATGATATATTTAGCAACTATTGAGCCTTGAGAGACACCCATAATACTGAAATTTCCGTCTTTCAAGTAATCATCTTGATGAATTCTCTCACATAAGATCCTGCCTTGGTGGTTAATATTATAAAACATTGACACGATTGGAGCTTCATCCCCTCCAATGGGGTATCACTCTGCATAAGTATCGAGATAAGTGGAGATTTCATCAACTATTCCATAATCACAATCGTCATTTATCCCATGGATTACTAACACAGGCGCATTTGTGAAGTTATGGGCTGCTCCAAAGGAGATTATCAGCACCATGAAAACTATCAGCTTCATAATGTATTTTAGAAATATTTTTATCAAATTGATATTTATAATAAGGGGTTTTGGGGTTTTGGGGTTTTGGGGTTTTGGGGTTTTGGGGTTTTGGGG